CTACTGGAAGCTTCCTGAGACTGGACGCAGGTAGGCCACTTCGATATAGCAAAGGGTCTGCCTCCTCATTGGGCATTCGGGTGCTGGCTGCATGCTGCACAAGTGCTGCTGCTGCGCTATTTGCTGGCTGGCGCCTGCGCGCTCACGGGCGAGCAAGGAAGGAGCAGGCAGCCATAGCCGAGCTGCGCTGCTCTGCTGTAAGCTGGGTGTGGCGCAGGGTGGTCCTTGGGTGTAAGTGGCATCTGTGTGTTGGGGAACGAGGTTGTGAGTGTGGCGAGAGACATACCTGGTGCTGGAAGCGTGCAACATTGGTCGCTGTATGCTCGTACTTTGGGAAGTCTGTTGACGTTATCATTCGGCATCGTAGTTTAGGCTAGATAGGATCTGCCATCTGTAGTCTGGGCGCCGAGTGCCAGATAGGATATCAACATTGGTTCTTCATTGATAATGATGATGAGACTTTACCAGCATTGTCAATTTTGAGCTCTTGGTGTCTTCTTATTTGGTGAAACTCGTGATGCAATTCTGCTGTTGGTTCGAGGTCACGACTATCTGGTCTTGTGTATATGATGATGTGTGATTGCTGAAGTTCGTTAATGCTCATCTTCCTTGCAATTTGGTATCGGAGCTGTGGTACGATTGCACTCATCTGGCGCTTGTCTTCTGCCTTATGCGGTACATACATGCGGTCTGCTTGGCGAGTTTGGCCGTAAGTAGTGTGTAGTGAGGAGGGCGGAGACGAGTGATAGGCGACCCAGGAGGTGAGGGGATCGCCAGGAAGGCTATGAGGTGTAATGTGGTCTGGACAGTGTGATGAGAACTATCTAATGTGCAATTGATGCTGAGGTGGAACGACGAGATAATGCTGGTTGTGCCGATGCAGTGACTGGTCATCGCAATCGCCATCAGGTCAACTCGTGAGATTATCTCTGTGGTTGGGGGCAGCTATTTGAGGTACGTTGCTCTTAACCTTGTCTTCCCTCTTCGACACTTCTTACCGTGAGGTTGTGTGTTCCTTCTTGAGAGTCCTCTCATTGTGAGGTGTCGAGTGCGCTCAACCTTGAGAGTCTGCAATGTTCGCGTGGAGCATCTGGGAGAAGATGGGCGGAGCTTTTTGAAGGGCCCTGGACGAAGCACTGGGTCACAGTCACCATGCCAACCCACCGGGAGTAGAGCATGCATGCTTTGCTGCTTGTCCTTTGTTTGGCTTGCTGCGCTGTTAGATGGGTGCTGAAGGGCAGGCCAGCCCTAAGTGGGAGACGAGAACCGGGCATCTTTAAATAAACACCGGTAGGGGAAACCATTGGCTGTGATCGTCGTCCGACTGCGACGTAAAATAATTCATGGAGTCACTTGGGGGCGGACGTTGGGTTGCCTCTGGATCAGCCAATGGTTGTAAGGCTCTCTGCACACGAGGATAATCCAGTGCAGGGCTGGCCGGCTCAGCAGATTACTCGGGGCACAGGGGTGGACCGAACACACACCTTTTAGACACGCAACGCTCTTCGAACCGCTCAGGGACGCTGGCGTCAAGTGACATTCAGAGGAACTAAGCGAGGGGTAGATTTCAGGTGATAAGTTCGAGAAAATTCCATGCTGTCCTATCCACACAAATGATTCGATTTTTATGTTTTGATTAGTTAGGTGTACAGTCATTGACATCTGACAGACAACATTAGTTAGAACTGTTTCTTGTTCATGGTGCTTCTGTTTGCGGACTAGTCAAACTAAAAATAGTTTTATTTGTAGGAATCTGACTTACCTGTTGGGCCCGAATGTAAAGTCTATGAAATAGCCACCAATTGGTATGTGCACTACACTGCGGTAGGCACCCAGAGTGCATTAGTGCAGATTGTGTACGGTGCTGTAGCTTATGTGTGACGAGGAGAACACTAGAGAGGACGACCGGATCTTGCGATCGGCAAGGCGCCCGATTGCCCACTTGGCATTAGGACCAGAGGGTGACAGGTATCTGTTCCGCCAGCGTACAAATAGGTTGCAGCAACAGAGGAGGGCTAGAGCAGCAGAGGCTAGCCGGACACTTGTGAGTGAAGCCGCAGCTTCAGAAGCTATGGCTACTTCTGCGCAGCAGACTACTCAGGCCGGTAGTTCAGGATCTGTCGGGTCAACGGTCGCGCAGACCCAGAGTCAATCCACTGGCGTAATGGCAAGCCAGCCCATAGTGTTGACGTCCGACGAGATTGCCATACAACAAGCAGCATTGCAGGAGGCACAACTACAGAAGGCGTTAGGAGATATAAAAGCGGAGAAAGAAAGAATGATTAGAAGAAGAGCCAGGATGCAACGGAGACAAACGGACGTTAGTGAGTTAGAGGAGATACCTGACGCTCGTGACTGATGAAGTGAGGATCGTACGGTCCGTCCTGCTGAATGTAGTTGAGATGCAGGACCATCAGACAACCATCCTTCAGGACATCCAGCAGAGTCTGGCCCTGTTGGTTGGGCAAGCGCAGACAACGTCGCCAATGTCCGGGCCTGGTGCCTGGCCCGTGGTACAGCCTCCTCCTTTTGTCCCACCGGTGACTGGGGTATCCCCATATTTAGTCCCATCATCGGTTGCGATCGTTTCCCTGGGCATGCTGCTATCAGGAGGGATCACAACAGGATCTAGTTTGCAGGTTCCGGTATAGACAGTGTTCACCCAATCTTCGTTGCAGGTTGCTGTTACCACGCAGCCTACTGTCTCGCAGTCTGTACAACCGCAGGGTACACAGCCCCAACAGCTAGCACAGCAACCTGTGTCATAGGGTCCACAGCCCGGAGTGATGCAGGGACCGGGACAAACACAGTGGGTTCCAAAGGCGGCCATCGCCGCTCCCAAACCTTTTACAGGGGATAAGAGGGGCGAAGACCTCGACACGTGGTTGAGGGCAGTGCCAGTCTATGTTAGGTGTAAACTTACCTTGCCGCACGAAGAAGTGCTTGTGGCTGCCTCCTACCTAGAGGGTAGTGCAGCAAGATGGTTGAGTGGTTTAGTGCAGCTCCAGGGGTATGGTCATAACTTCCGCGCTTGGGCGGTCACCCAGAAATTGGATGACTTCCTTAAGCTTGTGGAGGAAAGGTGGCATGATCTTGAGGAGGCCCAAAGGGTGACGCGATCCTGACACTGCACACGCGGCAGTTCAAGTCAGTAAGGGAAGCAACCGACGCTGTTGAGCGTCTGATCTGTGTCCCAGGGGTGCGCTATGACCCCCAGGTGTTACTCACCTCCTACCTGAGATGCTTCTTTTTGCCTCTCAGGAACTAGTTGGCAGGTGAGGCCAACATCAATATGCACAACTTTCCTTCGTTTAGCAAGAAGGCCTTAGACCTTGTGGCGAAGATAGGGCATGGACAGGCACCCACTACAGACGGAAGGAGGAAGACACTGCCTCCTAACTGGAAGGCGAAGGGCCGCATTATGTTTGTCGATAACGATGGTTCAACCATCGAACTAGACGACAACTTCCAGGAAGGAGTAGGTTCAGAGGCAGGCAGCGCAGAAGCTTCAGAGGGTGGGGTAGTCGTTATTGTTGCTCAAAAAGGTAAGGCGACCGGTAGACGTCGTGGAGGTTCCCAGACTAGGAGTCAAGTAGACGCCAATGCTCCTCCATGGGAGAAAGCGGGTCTCACAGAGGACGTGTGGAGAGATCGGTACACACGACAAGCTTGCATTCGTTGTGGCCAATACGGCCATAACCAGTTCAAGTGCAGAAACAAGAAGGTGACCGACAAGATCCCGCCTACGATGGGGCAGGCAGTAGGATCCTCCCATCCCGTTGGTAGCAATGTTGCCAGCACTTCAGGCACTGCTTCGGGAAACACGTCGGGCCAGTAGGAATAATAGTTGTTCCTACTAGGGTCGAGGTGGTGGAGACACCCTCACCATCTCGAGAGATGGCCCAAGCTACTGACTCCAGCGTCGTCCCGCAAACACATTCAGACCCATCGAGCCTCTGTTCGATGAATGTGCTTGATTCCTTAGAGGAGCTAGAGGAGGAGTGGTCTAGATTAGACCCGCTAGCTTCTTGGACGGCCCTAGTCAAAGCCCCGAAGGGTGAGCTGTTCGTCGGCGAGGTGGTCATTGGCGGCCGCAAGGTCGGGGCCTATTATGACACTTGCTCGTCAAGGAACGTCATTAGTCGCACGTGCGTTGAGAGGCTGCGTTTACAGGGGCGAGTGCAGCGCCTGAGTCGACCTGTGGAGTCGACCTGCGCCAACAAACAACGCATGGTAGTCAACGACTACCTCCAGGATGTTGAGTGTTGTGTCCCGTACGCGAAAGGGGAATTGAGACATCGCGTCTGGTTCCTGGTGAGCGATGAACTCCCCATGGATATGTTGTTAGGTATGTACTACCTCTCTGTGGCACAGCCCCAGTTTGACTGGGACCGAAAAGTGGTCAAGCACACTTTGCCAGGTGGAGGGACCGCCATATTGCACAAGTTCAAAGCTAGTAGTCTGATCGAGTCCTATGGATGCATGTGTGTGGCCGCATTCTATAACTATTATAAGCAAAATCAGGAGGAGGGTATGTACCTAGTTTATGTCTCTGCTACAGGCGAGCCGATGAAAATGCCGCCGGAGATAGAGGAAGTAGTTGCCAAGTACCCTGATCTATTTGAAGAGCCGACAGGGGTTGTAGAGAGGGAGGTCGTCCACGCGATAGAGATTATCCCAGGGTCTAGCATCCCGAAGGGTAGGATCTATCGGATGTCTCCAGGCGAGCTCGATGAGCTTCGCTGACAGCTCAAGGAACTCGTAGAGAAGGGATGGATCCGGCCGAGTGTCTCTCCTTATGGGTCTCCAGTACTATTCGTACCTAAGGAGGAGGAGGGAACTTCACATTCATTTTCATAACACAAAAAAGTCAGATGTGCATTGACTACAGGGGCCTCAATGCCATCACAGTTAAGAATAGAGAGCCCCTACCGCACATCGATGATTTGCCAGATAGAGTGCAAGGGTGTCGGTACTTCAGTAAGATATATCTGAAGTCCGGGTACCATCAGATTGCAATCCGGCCCGAGGATCAACACAAAACCGCCTTTCAGACCAGGTACGGTCTGTACGAATTTGTGGTGATGCCTTTCGGCCTTTGTAATGCTCCTGGAACCTTTCAGCACGCTATGAATCGGATATTCCATGACTACTTGGTTAAGTTTGTCATCGTGTACCTCGATGACATACTTATTTTTTGTAAGACTGTCGGGGAGCACGTTGCACACTTGGACAAGGTCCTCAGTCTCCTGCGACAGCACAAGTTCAAGATCAACGGTGAGAAGTGCGAGTTTGGCCGCACCCGTGTATTGTACTTGGGTCATGAGATATCCGCAGAAGGGCTGAAGCCCGATGACGCGAAGGTGGCCAGCATTCGTGATTGGCCACGTCCTCAGTCTGTGACTGAGATGAGATCTTTCTTAGGAATGATAGGCTACTATAGGACTTTCGTTAAGAACTACAGCATAGTGGCCGCTCCTTTGACTGATCTGACCCGCCTTGACACCCCATGGGAATGGACAGATGAGTGCGAGGCTGCTTTCAGACATCTGAAGCATGCGTTGACGCACTACGAGGTCTTGAGACCTCCCGATCTTGATAAGTCGTTTATAGGCACCACGGATGCCAGCCAATATGGCATTGGCGCCGTGCTTGCACAACAGGAGTGGCCAAAGTTGAGGCCTATAGAGTACATGTCCAAGAAAATGCCGTCTCAGAAGTTGGCTAAGTCCACCTATGAGAAGGAACTCTATGCGGTTTACAAGGCTCTGACCCATTGGAGACACTATCTCCATGGGAGGTTCTTCATCCTTAGGACTGACCATCAGACCATGAGATGGATAAGAACTCAGCCTGTACTCTCTGACGCTCTCAAGCATTGGATCGAAGTCATTGAGCAGTATGACTTTGACCCTCAATATCTGAAAGGGGAGTACAACAAGGTTGCTTATGCCTTATCGCGTATACCTGATTTCTCAGGTGCGCTGATTACTGAGTTGGATCTGACGGACAATGTTACTCAGTCCTTGGTGGAAGCCTATCGCGAGGATCAGTTTATGTCAGAAATCATATGCAGACTAGAGGCGAAGGACAAAAAGACTTCAGCCGAGTTTGAGTTGGTTAACGGCTTGCTGTTCCTTGAGAATGCAGGGAATAAGCGTTTGTATGTCCCGAATAGCGAGTCTTTGCAAAGTTTGTTTTTAGGTGAGTGCCATGCCGCCACCGACCATTTTGGGTATAAGAAGACCACAACCAATCTGCTGCAAAGGTTCTGGTGGCCCACGATGATGCGAGATGCCCAGTTGTACGTGGAGACTTGTCAGGTATGTCAAAGAGACAAGCCACGTACTCAGGCTCCTCTTGGGCTCCTGAAGCCCCTTCCGATTCCGGAAAGGCCTGGTGAGAGCCTGTCCATGGACTTCATGGATACACTGATCACCAGCAAGAGTGGGATGCGACACATCTTCGTCATCGTGGATAGATTTGGTAAGTATGCTAGGTTAGTAGCAATGCCGGAAATAGCAAGAACGGAGTATGTGATTCGAATGTTCAAAGAAAACTGGGTCAGAGACTTCGGTTCACCGAAGTCTATTATTAGTGACAGGGATGTCCGATTTACCAGCGAATTGTGGAAGGCTGCTGCTGCAGAGCAGGGAACCCAGTTGCAAATGACTTTTGGGAATCACCCAGAGGCCAACGGCCAGGCCGAGCAACTGAATCGCGCTGTACAACCCCTGTTAAACCACCAGTACCTCGCCCTGCTTGAGAAAAACGACGCGGCCGTATACGCGTCGCGTCGGGCGGGGTACCCACCGGGGTGCGACCGGTAGCCCACAAAAAACGGGCAAAAAAAAAAGAAAAAAAAAAAAAAGAAAAAAAAACGAAAACAAAAACAGACCACGAAATCAAACAGACGGGCGCGCGGGGCGGGGAAAGGAGGGGGAAGAGAGAGAGAGAGAGAGAGAGAGAGAGAGATCACTTACACCTCGCTATCTCCCTCTCTCTCTCTCTCATGAAATGAGAATGAATCTTTCCGCGATAAGGCGGAAGATTCATTCTTATTTCATTAGAGAGAGAGAGAGAGAGAGAGGGGGAGGGAGGGAGAGAGCGCGTCAGCCAGTGTCTGACGCCGAGTTTGGTGCACCAAACTCGGCGTCAGACACTGGCTGACTCTCTCTCTCTCTCTCTCTCTCTCTCTCTCTCTCTCTCTCTCTCTCTCTAATGAAATAAGAACGAATCTTCCGCCTTACCGCGGAAAGATTCATTCTCATTTCATGAGAGCGAGAGAGAGATTGTCGTTGAAATGAGAATGAATCTTCCGCGTTATCGCGGAAGATTCATTCCCATTTCAACGTACAGAGAGAGAGAGAGAGAGAGAGAGAGAGAGAGAGAGGGTGTCAGCCAGTGTCTGACGCCGAGTTTGGTGCACCAAACTCGACGTCAGACACTGGTTGACGCCCCCCCCCTTTCTCTCTCTCTCTCATGAATCTTCCTCTTTATCGAGGAAGATTCATTCTCGATGGAAACGTCTGAATTGTGATTTCGCTTTTTTTTTTTTTTTTTTTTTTTTTTTTTTTTTTTTT